CCTAATAATTATGCACACCTGATATAGGGTGTTGATGTCATTAGACCACACCCCTTCTCATTACAGAGATGCACATCACCTAATATGCTTAATTGGCAGTAGGCTTTTTCGAGCCTATACAGCTTGGAGTAAGACAACGTGCATGAAGAGGATGATGTGGACAAAATACTCATTCGCCAAATAATTCTGCACTCCCTGTATATTCTTCAAGGTCTGCTGTAAATGAAATTATGTTTGCAGTTATTCACACGGACTTGTTTATTTAGTCTACAGTAAAATCTAGAAAAATCTCAGCTAACCATAAACAGCTTCACATTCTTAAATCAAGAGCCTAAAATCTTTTAGCATCCATATTATCCATTAACTGTGTTCTCCTAGTAACTCGAAATGTAACTTTATCGTCTACATTTCAAGTTATTTTCTCAAAACTTTGAGTTAGTAAGTGTAAACTTTGAAATCTTATGTAGATGTAGGTTTCTTCCTGTTAAAAGGGAGTTTTTCCTTCCCTCTGTCACCAACTGCATGCTCATAAGGGATCGTCTCATTGTTCTCTGTATTATTGTCGAGTCTTTGCCTTACAATTTGAAGCGCCTTGAGGTGACTGTTGTGATTTGGCGCTATATAAATACAACAGAGTTGGATGTAATAACACCTAATCATGTGTATGTTTTGGTATTGAAATACACAACAGATCTTTTAAAGCATTAAACTTAACTTGTTTTGGCGTGCAGATGCCCTGAATTAACTCTCTGTGTGGTTACTGTGACTCTCGAACGGGAACTATGGTGGAAGTGTTTTTACCACCTTACCAGCATTTAGCTTGATGTTATCTTCCTGTCTGCTCAGGTGGCAATAACAGCAACAAATGTGAGCCAGCTGCAGCTGTTTGAGGATGGCCAGCCTGCCTGCGCGGTGCTGGCACTGCACCCTTCGGATGATCAAACACAAGGTTTGGGTTCAGCATGCTGCTCTGTGAGATGTTCCAGCCTCAGACACAGACTGACGCTCTCTGCTCTGATGTTACCTTCCAGTGGTCGGCCTATACCTGCACGGGAAGTGGTGGCTTTTGGATGACGTCTTGCGAACGTCAAGCAAATCCAGAAGTGGTTTGGTGTCGGTAACTGTGTTAAAGTACATTTGTCTAGACACTATGTCACTTCATGGCTCGTACACAGGTGTGAACAGTGAGAGAATAAATCAGTCTACTCATGACAAGAATCATCTCAAGATTGCATTGTAGGTGTGGTCGGTAGCAGCTTATGCAGCGGGTTTGCGGGAGAAACTCGGGAGAATTTTCTCCAACCACGTCATCTCAGTGTACTTCAGACTCAGCAATATGGTGACGTGCAAGATAAAAATAGTGGTCAACGACCCTCAGGACCACCTCTAAAGGTGACAGCCCCCATTAGGAATAAAATACCTGACACAGTCCACTATTTGTTTTTAGAACTGAAGAAGCCTCTTGAATTCGAGGTGAAATGTCTTAACAAACTTAAAGAAGTCAAGTTGGCTTCTTTTTTTTCAAGTCTTAAGACATACATAAATACAACCATAAATACATACAACCAAGCTGAGACAGTACGGGATATCCACAGCAATCTGGAAACTTCTGCATGTTGTCCGCAGGTCCAGTCTGTTATGGAGAGGGTGATTGTATTTCTGCTCAGTCAGATAATGGAGAGGCCTTCACTGTTCTCCCTGCATCCTCCCAAAGAGAGCTGCAAAGTGCTGTGGAAAGACAACCAGGCGGTCGGCTTTTACACCGTGAAGCACAAAGGTGGGCAGAGGAGGATGAGAGTGATTGGCAAACAGGGTATCAGTGAACATACACATCTGCAGGTTGCGATTTATATTTTGTGTATGTCCAGCAGGAGTTTGGACAAATGTGAAGAAAGCTGCAAAGTTAAGGGCAGAAGACTGGCTTGAGTTGGATTAAAACTTTAATTAAGTCAGAAACAGCATGAAATTAGGAGCTGGGTGGAGGCGGGCTGCAAAGTGGCCTGCAGATGTGCAGCAAGTGTGGATGATCTAAAATATCTTATATGCGATAGATGAGTTAGATGTGAATTTGCATCAGATGATCTTCCAGGACCGAGCAATTCCTCAATTTTCTGATCACATCCAGGCCTAACTAATCACGCCAAGATGACTATTAGGAAGGTGTTCACTTTGAAGCTTCACAAATCTCTTTCTATGGATAAATCATACCCTCTGTTGTCCTTCTATTTGAAGGAGTTACACTGACTTAGCTTTTCAGACCTGGAAGCTACATCCACCTCTTAAATGCAATCCATGTCCTCCTCTGCTGTTTCAGGGAGTCTGTGTGACGGCTGGAGCAGCTGCTGTTACCTGCTGCCTGTTCTGGACACTGTGCTGGTGAGGAGGAGCTGCAGGAGGAGAGGCTTCGGCCTTCAGATGCTGGAGGATTTCTGCTCCTCCTTCTCTACGGAGGAGTTTCTGGGAGTCAGCTCTCCATTATCCCCCAGCATGGCTGCAGGTCAGCTTGGGTCCTTCTTTGACCTGTTTGTATACTTGTTTCTTTAGGTCTCTGTCAGACAGTTTGCTGTATCTGGTCAAGGAACTGCATGTTTTCTTCGCTTTTGTTCAATAGAAATGTTCAGTAGACTCACGCACTAATGATCTAGTTATAGCTAAAAGCTGATCACACACCTGTACATCATGACGCAAAAAAATGTAATAGGTTTTTTTTAATAGTGGAATTTGCATTTCCCAAGTGAAACACACAGAAATCCAAGATGGCACTGACTGTAACTGGAGACAGAGGTGAACTTGATGATTTAGCCCCTCATTTAAATGAAAGGCATTTGGTCAACCAATGAGTGTTTCATTTGAAGTTTTTTGTCGTCGCTTTTCCCAGAGTGTCTCCTGGTGAGATGTGCCCGGCAGGTGTCAGGATACTCTACTGTTTTTGTTATTATACCTTGGCGCTAAGCACGGGTGACCGTAACAATCACCATATTAAAGCGTATGGTGGCACATAACTGTTATAATCGTGTCTCTTGGGTCCCAGCAGTGGTTGTGGATGTGGAGTCTGAATGGTTGGCTCAGAGGTCGCCTGAAACAGCCGATTGGTATCAAAGAGTTTTGCTGAAGTTTTGCAGCTTCACAGAAGCAGAAACTTGGGTTTGGAAAAGTCTGAGGAGACCATGGAGAACAAATTTTTTAGCTGGCCTCATGAAAGTTCTGGCAAGCTGTCCGGCAGCTCAGGAAAGGAAAGCAGGGCTGGGCTCAGGCTCGGTCAGGGATAAAAACTGCTGTCCAGAACTAAAGATATTGTCAGGCGCTGGAAAGAACACTTAAGGAACACTTGAATCTGAACAAAACATCCTTTTTGAAGGAGAGAGAGCCTGAACACTCATGGAAAGACTCACTAATTGCTTCATTCACACAGATCTCCTTTAAAGTGCCAGATTAAGGTGATATAGACCATTTTTCCAAAGCTCATTGTGTGTAAAGCGTTGTTTCCCAGACTTTTGCTGCTTTCTTTTATTCCTTTTTTTCCCAAACTCTTTTTATTTTTCAGAATCACAGCAAATTACAGTACAACAACAGAGTGATGCACACCATGTAAAAAAGACAAAAAAGACTTAGCTGTGCTCAAAAGTGCCGGTCAAAGTGACATTGTGGCTATACATGTAAAAGAAACCTAACCATGTCATAAACGCGGTCCCCACAGCAAACCACAGAGTGGAGACAGTACGGGATATCCACAGCAACTCAAGATTATCTTTGGTAGAAAAAACAGAATAATAATAGAGTACCTCATGACCAAAAGAAGTCAGGAGTGAACAAAAATAAAACAAAATAAAAGCAGTAGAGTAGCATAGAACCAAGTACAATACAATAGGGACAGCCAGATTCACAGTGGTATATCACAGAACTGCTGTCATGGTCCTGGGTCGGTGACCCAGCGCTTTAAGTTTATTATTATCATTTTCTACTTTATTATTATGATGATGATTATTGTTTGAGTTCTACGTGTTATATTCGGTCTGCCTCTGAGTCTGTATCTCTGTCTGTCTATGGTGTCACCCCGTCTGTTTGTGAATCTGTCTGTTTAGTTCAATGTCTTGTCTGGTTCCATGTGTCTGAGTTTCCTGTTTTATTGTGAAGGTCTGTGTCGTATGTGAGTGTGCTCAGTTTACGTTTCCCCTGTCTCGTCAGCTGTGATTTCTCCCAGGTGTGTTCCCCTCCTGTCTCTCATCCCTTGATTACTGCCATCTGTGTATTTAAGCCCTGTGTTTCTCTGTGTCAGTGTCGTGTTGTACCCTCAACTAGCTGTGTGTTCCGCTTCCATGTTTCTAGTGTTTAGTCACCTGCTCCAGTTTAGTGTTTCAGTCCTCAGTTCCTCTGTTACGACCTTTGTTTGTCTTTTAGTGAGTTTATTTAGTACGAGGTTTCTCCCAGCAATAAAGCTGCGCTTTAAGTCCCACTTCCGTGTCTGAGTTCTGCATTTTGGGTCCACCACTCCTGCTTGCCTACCTGCCACACAGCCAACCATGACAACTGCACTGTTTCTACATTGTTGAAAAAGGGTTTCCATGAATTCAGAAATATTGCCGTTGACCCACATAGAGTATGTTTTACCGTTTCCACATTGCTAAAAAGAACACCTGTAATCCAGGCCTCAGAGAGAGGAGGGTGACTTCCACTGGAGCAAAATCAGACATCTGGCCAAAAGAGTTAAAAAAGCCACGAAATCTGTCAACGCTAGCAAAGCAGTCTCACCAGGTGTCACAGCAAAGGCCGACACATTTAGATCTAAGTGCTCCTGAAGTACCTCTAGTAAGGCAGGGACAGGACCACAACATCAGTGAGGCGTGGGCTTGTTTGCATCTATCACAGACAGGATCAGCATCAGGGTAGATTTTGGAACGTGTGAGTTTTCACCAGTGGGTGTGGTGCAGCACTTTGCACTGGACCAGTGCATGCCCGGCACTAATAGATGACGAGTGGACCCGGAAGAGTATATCCTCCCAAAAGTCCTGGGTGATTTCCTTACCAAGGTCCTGCTCCCAAAGCGACTGAATAGTTAACACTGGGACACTCCGGAGATAAAGGATTCTTCATAGCTGCATGAAGCAGCACCGTTTTAATTTGGAGGTGGACGCAAAAGAGTCTCAATGAGTGGGGTTAAAGGCTGAGAGGGAAAATGAGGTGTCATCCCTCGAATAAAGCTACCGACCTGTGGGTACCCAAAAAAGTGGGTTTCATTGTTCAAGTTGTTCAAAGGAAGAGAAAATGCCCTTAGAATAGATCATTAAATGATTTTATACCCAAAGTAGACAACAGGGCAAAGCCTCCATCCCGTGGCGAAGCCTTAAAAACATGGTTCCTACAGGTTGCAAAGAAAAAATCTGCAGGACAAAATGCTGTCTTGGATTTCTAAGCGCATTCAGCCTCATTATCTACTCATATAATCACTCAGACTTATCCTTGCTCCAACAGAAATACAACAAAACATGTGTTTGTGTGTTCAGTGTTCAAAAGGTTCCTGCAGAAGCACCAGCAGTATCGAGAGCGTCTGTACGAGGTGGAAGCTCCAGGGGGCTGGACTCAACGACGAAACATCTGGCTTAACATTCAGCTCGGACGCTACTGCCTCGGTAAACATTGGTTTGTTTTTTATGGGTTTAACAATATTTTCAGATTTACGTTGAATTGCTAACGTGGGAATGTCTTGAAGACGGCACGTGTCCTTATCTGACTCACATCTTTTAGGTACTGATAAGGAGAGCAGCCCAATATCAGGAGAAACACAGAGAAATGCACTCAAGGACTCCTTTCACAAGGTAAGAATGTCAGGCTACGTCCACACTAGCCCGGATAAATCTGAAAATGGCGTCTGAAAACGCGCCGCCTCCACACTATCGTTTTCATTTGTTTTCACAGAAATGCTTGCGTTTCAGTACTGCGCATGCGTGATACGCAAGACGATTCAACCTGCCTTAAATACATCTGCTGTTTATTTACTTTTCAGCTCTTTGAAACGTTGCAGCAAAACGTTGAGGAAAAGCACCGAGTTTTTTAAATGGACCAACAATGAGATGGAGTTATTGCTGCGAGTAACACAAAAGTACAAAGTTGTAAAAGCGAGTGAGAATTAAAGAATTTGAAGAAAAGCTCTCTGGAGCACGTACAGACTGATATTAACCTTTAATAGGGCTGTCAAAATTGAGCGCAAGCAAAACAACTGCTGTATAATGCCCTCTGCTATCTTAGTTTAATTGGTCACATGACTGCATCACATGACTAACATGCGTCATCGTTTTCGAAAAGGCTCCAAGTTCGCTGTCAACACTGCGACGCGAAAACATTTTCCCAAATGTATATTTGACCGAAAACGCCGTCTCAGTGTGGACGCGTTACTTGTAACTCAGACACATGGTTCTTAAAATAAGTAATCAGTAAAGTAACAGGATTACTTTTTGGGGGAAGTAATCAGTAATTAGTTACTGATTACTTTTTTCAAGTAACTTGACCAACACTGTTCATGGCTATATCAAGAGCTTGTTGAAGCCGGCGTTTTCATTGAAAACTTTCATTTCAGCTGACGGCTGTTCGAGGCTCCTCTGAGGTTTATAGTTTTGAAAATGAATGGATGAAAGTAAATACGTCCAGTAAGGCTTAGTTTGATATTTTATAGTTTTATTAACAGTGAATTTACCTGTTTTACTGACTATTCTAGTGTTGCTAAGGAGATCTTAATGTCTAATTAGTTTCCCAGAGAAATGTTGTAATTTGCAGCAATGATGACCCACTACTGATTTGGTATGACCAGAATAATATTCTGGTGTGTCGACAGCTGCAGACATTTGGGACTCGTAGTCATTCCTGTTACACTTCCATGGAGTCCACCTGAAGGGTGCTTGCATAGTTTGTGCGTTGTAATGTCTCCGTGAAAGAGTCTCTGATGACAAATTTCCATCTCTCTGCCCAACGGGGATCCAAGCAGACCCTCATGGACACGAAACATCACACAGTACACTCAGAAAACGATTCCATGAGATTTTGTAATTGTTGCAGTTTAGTGTATCGAGTGCTTGACTTTATGATTGATTTTGGACTTGTTATGATCTGTATGGCCTCACGTTTAGATTTAGGTGCTACATGTTCTTGCTCTCTGAGGAATTGTTGGGTTTCACCTCACAATACTGTGAGGCGCTTTGTTCTACCACTGAGCCTCACTAGAAGGCTAAAATAGCGCGTCTGGCTTTAACAACGGAAGCACAGTTATTTTGGGGACCGCTCTCAGACCTACTGCTTTAAACAGAAGAGGATGTGAAAACAAGCCTCTGACTTTTCTACATTCACGGTCACCAGAGGATGAATGTCATCGACTGTACTGATCACTTGAGATGAAATCAAGATTATTAATATTTCAAAGCTTTCAGTGCTTTTATAGATTGATCTGAAACTGAATTATGTGCAAGTGTCAGTGAGGAGAATCACACTGAGTCACTTGGTGGCACTATGAAAGCAGAGTGACTAATCCCAGACCTTCAGACTTTAAACAATGTGAAACCAGACATAGACTTGTGGGTTTTCACCTTTTTGTCTGTCAGCTCTTGACCCAAATATGTAATATGCTTTGAGATTGCATGTATCAAGAACTGGCATGTTCAACACAGTGCAGTGAAATGAGTTCCAAACGGCTGAGTGTGTAAATTTGCACACTTTTTTCCTTTACCTGATTCTGTTAAAAAGTAGCAGCGCGTTGGCCGGGAATTGGACCTGCGTCTCCTGCATCTACCACTGAACCACCAATGCCACGTCCTGTCACTGCTACAGGGCCAGATGCTTGCTGGCTAAAAGCCCTGCATCTCTTTTGGCACATTTGAGATATTAAACGTCAAACAAGCTACCAGCTCATGGCTCAGAAAATGATTTTATGATATTTTGCATTGACAATCAGGGCCGCGTATGATTCTTCGAGATGATATCATACCATGTTCTTGCTCTAGGAACAAATGCTATGTTCCTCCCAATAATCTTACCATATGCTGTGAGATGACCACACATCAAATTGTGGCACAGAAAATTCTTTCGTGAGATTTTGTATTGACGTTCATGCCCCCCGAGAATGTTTCTCACCCACTTCAGAGGGTTTGTGGATTTTTGTTCTCATGTTGTGACTCTTTGTAGTTTTTTTTTAATGTCTCCTGTAGCTATTTTGTGTAAGCAGCAATAATTTATCCAATTCTGTTTATCTCCATGCAGACTTGTATACTGGACCTGGGCACACTGGGAAGCACTGGTGTAAACACCGCAGTGGTGTTGGACTCTGCTGAACAGCAATTTAAATCGTGTGAGCCAAGTCAAGGAAGATGTTCCCTGAGCAGCGAGCTCCCTGGAACAGGATGTAGCCCTGCAGCCCAAACTATCCATGTGCAATCTGGACCTCCCACCCGGCTCCTAAACACAGCACAGGCTTTGAAATCCAAGGCTTCCAAATCTACAAAGCACCACAGACAGGAACCAGAGGACATGCAGAAAATTCCCAAACGAGCCAGAAGTGAGTTGAAACATGTACACACAAAGACTGCATTCAGCAGCAGAGCCCGCAGAGAATGTTCGGACACTTAACCGAAACCATATCCACATTCATTTAGGTGACTTTGTGTTCTTTCCATCAAATCAAAGTGAGTTTTGAATGAACAGCAGACTGCATGTACCTAAACATGCACAATAAACCTTTTTGTGTGTCTTTGTAGTATCGTGTTTCTTTGTGGCTACTTAATAGTGTTTGTGCTAAATAAGAACCATGTGTCTGAGTTATTGATTTTTGCCTTCAAACATAAATACATCCACACAGATTATTATTAGAGTATAGCAACTGCATTTGCTCCGTGGGTACAACCTGCACAGCATTTCAACCCATTTTAGATGCAAGGTTGGGGTTCATACGGTGACCTCAGATTATTATGCTTAACTATTAATGCACAGGATCAATCAATAAGGAGCTACAATATAGTTTTTTCTGCACCAATCACATAAACAACCACAGCTTCTGAGGCTTGGTGTGGATTAGGAGATAGAGCAACCCGTCGACTCATTGGACGGTTGGTGGTTTGATCCTTGACTGCTCCAGCCTGCATGCCAAAGTATCCCAAGCCCTGAGTTGCTCCTGATGTGCTCACAGAGGAAAAATTGTTTAAAACTACAGATGTATTATCATCTCGCCCACTGCACTTTAGGTACATATAAAAAGAAAAAAATCTTGGTGTATTTTACTGTTTAAAGCAGGGGTGCCCAATCCCGGTCCTCGAGAGCTACCGTCCTGCAGCTTTTAGATGCATCCTTGTTCCCACACACCTGAATCAAATGAATGGCTTGTTATCAGGCCTTTGCCAAACATGATGGCATGCTGAAGAGATCAAACCATTTGATTCAGCTGTGTTGGAGTAGGGATGCATCTAAAAGCTGCAGGACGGTAGCTCTCGAGGACCGGGATTGGGCACCCCTGGTTTAAAGCAACCATCTATATACATAGTATTTCGGCTTTTTTGTACACTGTTCTCATTGTGTTTCTTCTTGGTTTTTTATTTTTCTAATATATCTCTAATTCACTTTTTGTTCCTTTCCCTCGTGCTGGTGTAATAAATGAATTTCCCCCAGAGTGGGATTAAATAAAAATCTATGTGTGTTTGTATTCTTGTTGGATTATGGGTGCAAGTTTTCCTTTCACCTCCTAAGAATAAATGTGCTGGAATGAGAGTACAAACCCTTGAATCATTGCTAACTTTGTAGTTCTGTTGTTCAGAAATGGTGCAACAGTTTGCACAATGCTTGCATTTAACGTGTAAAATCAACAGTTCTGACAATAATCAGCAGATACTTGTAAAAGCTTTTTGTGTAGAAATAAAGCGTAAATCTGGACTTGCTGTGTGTGCAGACACCTGAAAATACAAGCTGTACCTGCAGGTTGCTGGTTTGAGTCCCTGTTCAGATACTGGTATTTCTCAGAGGATGATCCCCTCACTAAAGACCGCACGAGAAACAACTTTAACAAACATTAAGAATACTAATTAGCGCCTAATTAGTAATGAAAAAGAAAAAAACTACATGTACTTGCGCTGCATTCACTGCTGTTCAATGAGGGCCATCATGCGCCCCCTAGGTGATCTGCAGGCAATTTCTGCATAAATGAGAAGAGTCCGGGCTGTCCGTCCACTCTCACCGCACGCATTCTCTTCTGCACTATTACCCGCCGGCGTCTGCTGTGTAGAAAACCGAGCGCACCTCTCATTCAGGGACGAACAGGAAGTCCGGAAAAAGGAAAAATCTGAGGGAAGGGAAAAGTTACGATTTTATGAAAGATGAGTCGCATTTATCACAACACGTCTCTGCAGAACAAGCCGGTCCACAGTGAAAAGTTTGACCGTGCGTGGTGTCCCTCTGCGTTTGAGAGGTATGTGCTCGCGTTCACACGCTACAGTGTTTCCCCTGTGAGGGGGCAGCACCAGACTCCGTCAATAAATCCCTCGGTGTTCCCAGAGAGCAGATCTGTGAGTTGTACACTGTTCAAAACATTTTAAAAATGAAATTATGTCGGGTATATGCAGCACAGCGCAGTGTAGGTGGATGTACGACCCGCAGTATCAGAGCGCCCTGGCTGCACTTCCTGTTGTGGCCACTAGAGGCTGACACAGTATAGACTCCCGTGTTCAACATAAACGGGAAGAAAAACACGTTTAGAACGTGGTACAAAAACAGATCTATGGGCTCAAAATGTGGTCATAAATATTTTGTACTTGTAAATCAGGATTTGTATGTGTAAAAATAATTTGTGTGCGTAAAAATAATTTGTGCGTGCGTAAAAAAGATGTGTGTGTGTGTGTGTGTGTGTGTAAAAAAGATTTGTGTGTGGACTTAGCCAAAAAAAACCCTGCAAGTTACAAGTACGAATTTTGACCCTATTTTTTCTTCCTTTCATCTGATTGGTCAATGTCATGTCAATCACAAATGTAACAATCCAATCAGAGAGCAGATGGGTTTGGCTGTCGGAGGGGCGCTTTTTTTGAACTGCAGGTCTTTGAAGGGAATAAATGCCCTTTTACATGCCAACCCAGCGTTTTCCTTCACTACGAAGAAAAACAGTCTGTGGTCGTCCGAGTTTGGTGATTTTTGTGTCACAGGTCTACGTGTTTAATACAGGGACTTCCACAGCCTTTTCAACAGCGCTGCGGACGCAGGAGGGGGCGGGCAGTGTTTTGGAAATGACAGTCTTCATTACAAAGCTTTCTTCGTTATGAATTAGCATACATGTTTTTATTGAACATTTGAAGAACTAGCAAAAAAACCCCACAAACTCTTGTAGTTCACATATAGTCAGAGATAAAAACGACAAGGAGCAGGTGCATCTAGTACAGGTAGAGCTGCTGCAAAAACCCACAGAGCCCAGCAGCCAGCAACAAATTCTGGATCCTTTGCTTTTAGTTAGCAGTTAGCATTAGCAGCACATCCTGCGTCCAATGTGAAAGGACTTTTATGCTGCGCGCTGTGACTCACAGCAATGGTCCCGGGTCAGCCCTGACGTTGTGTTAAACTAATCCTAAAGTAATAATGGTATTTCTAACCACTGACATGCCACAACTTTATCCTTTCAACAGCTGCTGAAAGTTAGGGGACCTAGCTGCTATCGGATATTCACAGTACACAGAGATTACCCTTCAAGGACCTGCAGTTCAAAAAAGCGCCTCCCCCCCCCCACAGCCAAACCCATCTGTTCTCTGATTGGATTGTTTAATTTGTGATTGACATGACATTGACCAATCAGCTTGAAGGAAGAAAAATAGGGTCAAAATTCGTACTTGTAACTTGCAGGGGGTTTTTTTGGGCTAAGTCCACACACAAATCTTTTTTACAAGTACAAAACCGATTTACAAGTACAAAATATTTATGACCACATTTTGAGCCCATAGAGATCATTTCACTCATGGTAAAATTGTATCTGCGATAATCAAAGTGCTTTAGATGACATTGTAGAACTAACACGAGGCATTTTCTCAAGGTGCAGAAGTGAATTAACAAACTCATCACACACTAGAGCAGCTGGGGCCACAAGTGTGGCGCTTTTCTATTTGTTTTGCATTTTTCAAGGAAAATCATGCTTCAAAGCTAGCCGCACCGCCTGATAAGTGACTGCGTTGTAGCTTCAAAGAGACACTAAGCTGTTAACCAAACAGCTAACACGGTTTAATACTGGAGTGACTTAACATCAGTTTAGATGTTTCACTTTTTTTTTTTATTACAAAACTGTATTGCTTCCTTTTACTTATAGTTAGAAAGAAACTAATAATTCCACTGAGGGTCACGGTGTCTTTTTTGGATGAGCCCGGACCGTGGGGCCTGTCTATAACAAAGCCAGGCTAATAGGGGTCACTGGACTGAACCTCTTGACCCCGTTTGGGCCTTTTTCAGCATTTTGATGTAATTATCTGGGAAATATTTGCTCTAATGTGAGGTACAGAGCATCAAAGAAATTTGAAACTTTCACGTGGAATTCTAGTATGTTATTAACATGTTAATATATCTTAGTATGTTATTAACATAACTAAGAGGGAATGCATCAATAAAATGTTCTCTATACTTGTTCTACATACGTTCTGTGTTCTATATACTTTTTCCAGTTATTATTATTTTATCTAAGAAGCCATTTTTTCTTCTTGCTGACAATATTTTCACTTTAAAGGAAGTGAGTGAGTCTACCGGTAATCAGTCAGGCTCTATTCCTTTGTAATTCTAAACTCAGTCGGTAAGACTAGGAAAGAGTTATATGACTCTGAGTAGATATTACAGTATGTGGCCAGTAAAACTGCTGGTGCTGGAGGCCAGTAGGGGAAAAATGTAATATTGGGAACTGCACATATTGTCTGCCTACAGCCAGCTTGCAGACTGATCCCCTGAGGTTTTGATATAACAGCTAACATGTGGTAAAATTCAGGGACTTTAGACATGCCGGGCTAAGACTTCTCCTTCATTTTGCTTGCCTGCTGCTGGCTGGATGTAAAGTGATGTAACTTTGATCACAGTGTGTGGACGAGCTGCCAGTTCGTGGTCTTTGCTAGATCCAGTAACAAAACTACTGTCATGTGACTAAAGCAAATGGAAATGGTGAGTTTGGGTTTCAGAGCATAGTCGAACTTTTACTGCATTGGTTTGTTCTGAAAAACGTTTGAATGCCTTTATTCTGTAGGATTTATGTGTGCTATGAATCATCCTCCCTGCAGTTCTAGTTCTGCGTTTAACTGAGTCCCTATTCAGCACTCAGTCCCAATAAAACAGCACTTTATTTCGCCAGTACACATTTAGATACTCATTATTGTTTTTCTACACAGTGGCCCCGGAGTGCTTTTAGAAGGGAAGCTGCTCGATGTTTCCAGACATGCAATCACTGACAGCAACAATCAAAAGGTACAGTAATAAAACCAGCTGGGGTATCACTCGGTTATAAGAGCCCAGCATGACGCCTTCTTCTCAGTAGATGCAAATAATTGTAAAAAGACTGTGAGGGTTTTCAGGTCACTATTCGAGGAGCAGGCATTGGTGATAATAAGCAGAAATAAGTAAAGCTGAAAACCACTGTACAGTGGAAGGTATTTATTCATCCTTCTGTCACCTGCAGGTACGTTTCTACGTGCTGTACATCCAACCGAGTCGCATCCATCAGCGGAAGTTTGATGCCAGTGGAAAGGAAGTGGAGCCAAACTTCAGTGACACCAAAAAGGTCAACACTGGTTTCCTCATGTCCTCCTACAGTGAGTACACTGGAGTTGGATCTGCTGGCTGTGCAGTGTCAGAATAGGCCGAGCAAGACATGAGGTGCGGTCAGGTGCAAACTCTAGAAATCTCCATTTATTTGTATGACGAGAACTAGCTGCAGTTCAGTTCCTTAGTCTGATTGATGAGATGTAATAAATACTTTTTTGTTGAGGTCTGAAGTAGAACAGATCAGTAGTGCAGCATGCAAACCTGAAAAGTCTAACCCTGTCCTACAATTCACCAACTTCATGCAGCGACTTTTACAGGAAGGCAAGCAGCGATGATTGCATGCTAATGCTAGCTCTGTTTCTTAAATACGCCACTGATATGTAACAAGAAAAAGCCTCGTGGGTGCGGAGCTCTTAATTCCCTTCATTTACTTGGCTTCATTGTGTTTTCCGTCTTTACAGAGGTAGAAGCTAAAGGGGAGTCGGACCGTTTGTCTGAGGAGCAGCTGTCAGCCGCGGTGAACAAAGCCGAGCTAATGAAGATAACTGAGAAGCACAGACCCGCTGGGACCTGGGCCTTTTGGTATCCGGAGGCAGACATGGAAAAAACGGACCTGGAAACAGGACAGGATGTACGGTTGAAGACTAGAGGAAACAGTCCTTTCGTATGTGAGTCTGAACTTGATGTTTGTTATTTACTTGCTTGTAGAGCCTTTCTGTGAATTGTCCTGCCTAAGATCTTAATATCCACGTACACCGTCTGTGCTGTCTGCGGTTAGGGTTGGGTCTGAGTTTGGTGACATCGGCCCAGCAAAGGGTCTGTTTGTGCTGTAAACTGCTAGTCAGTGTAGTAAAAAATACAAGTTAATAGAAATGAATCACTGCTTAACTGTCTACACCTAAAGCTGCTTATAAGCAGTCGTCTTCTTTGTTTGTGTAACTATTGTCTGACTTGTATATGAACTTGAATCTGCATCTGGAGTTGTAAAACAGGACTCTGCCTTTGAGCTTTTAGGGAGAAGGGGTAGCTTTAGTAAACTGTTCTGTCACTGATGAACTGCAGACATTGTGTGGATGCATGCTTTAAAGGTTCAAGGTTTGCCTTCTTTTGTCATCACATGCTTTGAGACCTTTTCCTCTGTATCTAATCCTTTTGTAAAGGCAGATGAAATAATATAAAAGACACTTCAGAGCTTCACAGTCTTTAATTTGATTCAGATTTCCACCAGCTTGCTCACTAGCTTAAAGAAACAGTTAGAAGAAAAACGAATAATACTTGTTGAAACTGGTGCCTGGAAATACAAAGCAACATGCTCCATGTGTTTCAAAACTGGGACGAGGGGACATCGTTTAGGACAAAAATGAACATCGGGTTGTATTTCTCTGCAGAAAGAGAAATTGGTTTATTTTGGAATAGCTCTAGTTATTATGTGATTATTATTTTTTCTTCCCCGATTGCCAAGACTTGGGAGAGCAAAGCCAAAAACCACATGTTCTCACAGCCTACGGCCAGGAGGTTTGGGTCAAGCCTGTCTGCCTTTGTCTATCTTTATCAGTTAAGTTAACACAGTTGGAGTTTTTAAGCCTAACCAAATGCTTTCATTTTACTTTACTGTTCATTTGGAAGTGGCATGCATGTGTTCACTTGGTTAAATAAGTATATTTCCAGTTTGTCTGCTTCCATGGCAAGTTGAGTCCTAAATTTCACATCATGCTTCAGTTAATTGTACCTGGAGACACCCTGTATGTCACATTGAGCTGTAAATGTAAAGAATCCTTAAGACTGTGACTGTCGGTTAACCTTTAGGTTTATAGCAGCTGATCTAAAGTCTGCCGTTGTGTTTCATGGTCTTCACAGTTGATCAAGTCTGGTCCATGAAGTGCTACAGAGAAAATTACATTTTATTTATGTAATTAACACATTTTGAACTCTTAAAGAAATATAACCAAAGGAAAGACACCCAGCTGAACTAAAATGATCCAGCAAACAAAAACTGTTGTGAGCCACCCTTATATCGCCTTTGGGCTTTTGGAGCCTTGACCTGGCTTTTAAAACCGAATTGGAAAAAAAGCACTATGCTGCTAAAAACTGAAAAATATATATCTGCAAAATTCTGCCTAAATATGTATTTTACCTGGTTAATGTGTGTGGCGGGGCGTGGTCTGCAGCGCCGCTGCAGGGGAGGCAGACGCACCTGAGCGGCACCCGCAATCACGCCTCGCCGCCTTAAAGTCTGTGCTCTCTCTGCTGTTGTGTTGGTGTGTCGGGCTGTGAGCGGAAAAGCTACAGCTGGCTGTGTGCGTACAGCAACCGTGTGTGAAAAGTGATCAATAAAGAGATGCTGAAAAGTCGGGAAACATCGTCGGGTCTGCCGTGATATGTTTACAACGGGACTTCTGCTCCTGAACCTCTGCGCACAGCGTCTGCAGATCGGGGCTGTACGAAGTCACTTTCATCTTCACGCAGGACTGTAAGCTGTCGTCTGTGAGGCGTGAGCGGCTTCCGCGAGTGTGACTCTTATATTGAGCGATGAAAAAGTAATAGAATATAATTTTATTTTTATATTTCAATATCACAATAATCTTCCAGTTTAGAACTACAAGTTAAAAAAGAACTAACATAAATAAATTACACTTTAGCTAAATACTTGTAATTTATTTCCCCAAACCAGGCGGAGCCGCAGTATAAAGACTAAAGAGCCGCATGCAGGTTGCCGACCTCTGGTTTAGACTGATATCAATACCTGTCCTTTGGTTTTTAGCCTGGATTTATTCAGATGTGATGGATATTTGAACATTTATTATCAGATGTCTCCATCTTGTTGCTTTCTTAATTCTGTGTAGAGTTAGAACTTAAACATGAATCTGACATTCAAAGTTTTGAAAACTTTCTTCTCTATCAAAGTCAGTGAACGGTTAATAATCAAGTTGGCATATCCTTACAGAGGTGATAAAGCTTAAAGAGTAGAATTCAAAGTTGGTAGCTCACTTCGTTTAAGTTCTATAAATGCCTTTAAAAACCTTACGTACTTCTTTGTTTTGTGTCATGCGTAAATAACTTCATTACCTTCTTCAAATTCCAGTCTCTTTGGCCAAAATTGATGGCGGCACAGTGACCAAGTGTAACTTTGCTGGAGACGATAAGGCTGGAGCTTCATGGACAGACAAAATAATGGCCAACAAATCAGACACCAGCAGCACTCGGCAGCCTGGAGGAGGAGGCGAGGGAGCAGAGGAGGACGAATGGGTGAGGACCAAATCTCTAAACAAATGAAATGACTCGCATAATATCAGGGATGTAGCCCAGATCGGTGGTTTGTCATTTATTTTTCCTTTTCTTACAAATTCTTGAAAGAGTTTCTTTTAATTTCCTGAAAACTAACTCAAAATAAAGAGCAGCCGCCAAGGCCCTCGCAAGAACAGATCAGGTATCTCTGACAACAGGCGTGACATGGAGTCGGAGACAACGTGAAGGAGGAGCGGGGGTACGTTGTAAAGTTGATTGCAGATGTGCAGCCACTGCAGGAAGGCTGAAGTAGCTTGAATTGATTGCCCTGTATGACAATTACCCAGGGCATGAGGTGAGCCGTCAGCTGATGCGGGCGAGCATTAGGATCTGATCTGGCTGGAATGCAGCTAAGGCTGAGCTTTGTGGCTTTCCTCAAACAATCATTTTTTCAGCTGCAGTGGAAATGATATCATGCTCACAAATACCAACATTATTAAAAATTTCAGTCGTGCAGCAGTTATACTAACAAACATATTTCTGCCTAATTCCACAGCCCACCATGTAACATAAGCCATTTTTCCACTGCACAAACTTCCCAGTGACCAGGATCTGTTCACCGTGGGGTTAACTTAACTTCCAGGAGATTTATTCTACTCTGTTCAATGTGACTCATTCGCAAAAAGTTTGCAACCTTGGGGGCGGTGCTGGCAGGCTAAGGTGCTACGTGCTCAGGATTGTTTGCTTTTATGATCTATCCAATTTACTTACTTTTTAATTACTGGAAGAAAGTTCTTGTGACAAAAAGGTCGAGTTACTGCAGCTGCAAAGACTCATTTTTCTCTGTTTGTAATGCATTGTGTATGAATTTATGAGATATTGTACAGCCAAATGCAAGCTGATTTTTAACTAAATTATAGGAAATTAGCTGGAAATTACAGGTCAGATGATTCACAGATGAATACTGTATATTCTTAGACATCGTAGTGCATTGATTACACACCTTCTTCCTGCTAAAAGGAGTTTTTCCTTCCCATTGTTGCCAATGTGCTTGCTCATAGGGGGTCATATAACTGATGGTTTTTCTCTGTATTTATCATTGTAGGGTCGACCTTACAATATAAAGCTACTTGAGGGGACTGTTGTTGTGATTTGGTGCTGTATGAATAAAATTGAATTGAATATTGATGTAGCTATCGAAGGCCATCACAGACAAGGGATGTAAGGGAAACTCACTGCATCCAACTTTGAAGTGTCACTAGCATCCTTAGACTGGCCTCATCAGTAGGTGATGCCCTTTGAATCTATTATACTAAAGTGTATGCAGATAGCGAAATGCAGTTTGTATCGCTGCCAACAGGTGTCACAACTGGACTCTGAATAAACGCTGTTTGCATGTGTATCTGATCAAGCTTTAAGATGTTGTGCAGTAGTAATTAACTTCAGATTGTTACAACACTGTAGACCTCTCGCTTATAGACTAGTGTATGAGTAACCCATGACTCTATCGCAGATGGCTCGATATCCATAGAGTTGTTGAGGTAGACCTGAGGTAGGTGCCTTCCTGAATGAATATGTGAGAAGAAAGAAATCTGGCCGGCCCCTCAGTTTCCACTGGCAGCCTCACAGCAGCTGGATCACCGGCTTCAACATGACAGAAGCTCTACTAGCCTCTGAATCAAAGCTAGCTGTGTTTCAGTAACTGTTGAGGAGCAGTCAGCAGGTTTTAGACCCACATGTTACTCAGTGTTACACCGAAAATGTTAAAGCAATTTCCATGAGAACAAAGTTATGTCGGAAAGAATCTGTAGGGCTCCTCTCTTGCGGTTGCCTCTCCCATCGCCACTGAGGTCAGCGGTTTGAACTCTGAGTCCCTTAATTTTGTGTCGCTGACTGTAGCCAGCTTTTAGCACCGCACTGGTGGAAAACTAGTATTAATAGTCTGGCTTTTGGCACATACGGTCGATATACTTCAGCAGTTACTTTGCTCGTTGTTGACGTGGGTCAGACACGAGGGTCAGGGTTTATTTTGATTTTTGAAATTAGAGTTAAAAACAGGTTGTTAACGGGTCACCGGTGACCTGGTGGACGTTAAGACCACGAGTTCTTTAATGATAGAACAGGTTTTCCCCTTTAAATCAGATGCATATTTAGCTTCTTGACTTCCTTCTTGACTTTTTAGTACAAACAGAACCAGACAGGCTGTTGCTCAACCTGACCTGTGCAAATCCTCTTTACTGCCTCAGACTTTGATTAAAGGTTTCAAACAATATTTCCTGCTAAAATTTATGAGACGTATAAAAGGCCTTCTGGAGAGCAAGAATTTTGTGCCGAGGATTTCCTGCAAGAACTTTGCTTTGTGGACTCATAACATCAGTTATTTAAGGAAGTGAGAGAAATGCAGTGAGTTGCACAAGCTATCAGGCCTGCATGGGGGAACTCCACCTTTTTATAGTGTGATCTGGGAAACGAGCTATGATTTGGCCTGGCGTGAAATGGATGTCAAAAACCTTCTGCGGCTGTTATTCAGAACATAAACGAAGCTTTAGACAAACAGAAACCAGAAAGCACTCACTGCCCCTGCTTTGTTTTATCCACAGGATGATTGAGAAAACTGTGTTTCCCACCAGTCTGAACTCAGGGCCCCGATCCAATCTCCAGCATGGACTGGACTTTGACTATTATATCTTACATATGTTGCCGTAGGGCTGGAAACCTCGCGTCACCTCTACAGTATGGGACTAGCTGTCTTGGAAACTGTGCTCTTCTCTTGTATGCTTCACCACATTTACATAAGTCAACCTGCATGTTCATGTTTTTGAATATGGAGGCCTGCAAAGATTCATGTAGTAATGAAGTTTGTAATATCACAAATTCTTATTCTAATTTTAACTGAGAAAAAAGTGACATTCATGTGACGATTTTACAAATTACTTTTGTTTAACCTTTATGAATTTTATAGACATCATGATGTTTCCAACCATCTGTTATATTAAAGTGCAGCCAGTGTGCAGTATTAAAGAGCACAGGCTTGAGCATTATGGTTTTCTAAATAAAGATGCAGCATGCTACACAAGTGGAGAGCCCTCAAATTGCAAACCTGTTTTTCTCAACTGGCTTTTTTTTTTTTCTTTTTTTTTTTTAAGTGCTTTTTGGCTTTGAATACAAGGACCTATTTGGGCCACGTTAAGAAAAAAAAATTATTGATCAATTTAAGAATAAAAACAAAATTTTAAGATTAAAGTTTTAATAATATTTTGAGAATAAAGGAAAGAAATGTGGAAATTAAAAATGTCTTGCGTTAAGTTATTTGTCTTTTAGCTCATAAACACGGAGCGGTGATAATTAGAAAACACTGAAGAGATGGTGCAGAAATCTGCAGCTGATCAGAAGTTAAAAAAACAAACCGGAACCAATGGCTGGCAGTGGACGCATGCAAGGATACCGATGGCTATGCAATAAAGATGGATGTCATATCACGATGAGACAGCTGATCGAGTTGTTTCACTAAATCTTCTACACGAGGCATTTTGCAGAGGTTGCAGGAGTCGTGGCGGCAGTTTGGCTTTAAACAACAATTGTAATCTTCACATTTCGACTTTCTCAAACTAGTATTTTGAGTTTCATCTACAAGTTCTGACTTTAATCTCAAACTGAACGCTAATTTCTTTTTTTCTTAATGTGGCTCTAATACTCCTTCGTGGTTGAGCTAAAGGACAATATGACTTTGTGCTTTGAATAAAACCAATGAATGTGTGTTAAATGACGATTGCGCTTTGTTTTTGTGTCAAATTTTAACGTGGGGATCTAAAACTGGGATTTCAGCTAATTAAAGTTTTACTGTGTGCAGAGGAACATACAGTGTCCTAATTAGAGCTTAATGTCACAAACCCAGCTGGGGTTCTTCTTCAGGGAAAGTCAGTTATAAAGCCTCAAATCACAATCACATTCACATCATTAATGCATTTTAGAACATAGGAGCAATGCAACAAAATTTGGGGAAACAATTTTTATTTTAATGCTTTCAATATTTTCAGGAAAGAACTGAGACCAAACTTGATGCACTTCAGAGAGTGTGCCTGTATTGCAGATACAGACTAAGAAACAGACAAATTTTGACAATTTTCAAGTTTTGTATTGCTTTTTTTTTTTTCTTTCCTAAAATTGTATAATTTAAATTTCACACATATAGTCTCTTTGGGTAAGGGACATCAACTTTTAAACATATTAGGAACAAACTTTTCGTTTTTCCTAACTGTAAGCAGTCACACCCCAAAAGCATTCCAGTTGGGACATTGTTGCAATACCCATTAACCAAAGTAACACAATTAAAAGGCTCGTGTGTATTTTATTATTAAATATAACAATTTCAGCAACGCAAGATCAGTTTGGCTTCTTGATTATAGCACATTTAATAGATTTTGCAAACGACAAAGTGGCAACAGAAGCAAATGGAACAAAGAGACGTTTGTTTTCACTTAAAATAAACTAAACTAAACAAACCCCTAAAAAGCAATTATGCAAAGCAACAATGGATTTTCTAGGATAAATGCAGTTTTTTAACATGCAGCCATACAGTTAATACATCCTTCATTAGCATTATGTGCAAAATTCACAAATGTTGAACAGATTGGGTTTTTATTTCTCTATTTTCATTGAGTGTATGGTATAAATAATGCACAGAAGTATATACATGAATACTGAACATTTCTCTTAGTACTTATTATAATATACTATGTGCTGCACAAGTCATATTTCAGCTTGGAATTGAATTACATTCTTTTTCTTGTAAAGTCATATTGACTAAAAATGTGCAGCTTCGAGAGAATAAGCTGGCAATCAGATCAGAGGCTCTGAACCTGTTAGTACTCCTTTTGTCTTACAGAAGAAGTTTTTTGTTCGAACCACCGCAGAACATCGTCTTTGTTCTCTTTGACCCACTGGATGTTCACTTGGGTTTGCTCGATGGCCAGAGACACAGCCCTGGAGGCACCACCCAGGTCGTAATTTTGAAAACGCATGAGCTGTAGACACAAAGGAGTGAGAAAAAAACCACAAAGTTAGGTGTTGGCATGACACAGCAGCATGTGAAAGACCGTTTCTGTTCTTTTTTCTGCAGCTATCAGTTTTTGAACATTATTAAATTAAATACAATACTTGAAATATAAGCTAAAGTAGTATAAATAATGAAAATGCTATAGACAGTGAATAAAACAATGATCTCAACATAATTCAACAATTTTGAAAGGCCTAAAGTAATTGGTGCAACAGTTAAAATATTTGGAGTTAAAAATAAAATATAATTCAAATTAACTTAGATAAACTTAAAAGATAAAAAAGAAAATGTAATTATGCCCTCATGAAAAAATGATTAAATAAAATATTGAATCTAACTTACACATGTTGAAAAGGATACAGATATGTTGGAGTAATTAGCTAAAATAATAGCTACAATATTGTAATTAGCATTTAGATTAAAAAAAAAAGAGCTAAAAGCAGTTGTTGCCACTGTTAAAATATAGCTAAAAGTAACAGCATGTGAAATTACATTTCTTTCCCTTTTCTGAACAGCTGTGAATGTTGGAAATGTTGAAAAAGCTCAAATAAGTAGCATAAATAATGAAAACACCACAGACAGTGTCTTAAATAATACTCATTTAGTAATGTTTAAAGGCCAAAAGTATTGGCAGGTAAAATGTTTAAAAATTATCTTCAGAAGGTTAAAAAAGAAAATGTCATCTTTATAATCATGAAAAACGGTTAAATAAAATATTTAACTAATGTAAGTTACATATGTATTGAAAGATAAAGATACGACGAAGTAATTTAGTTAAAACAACAGCTAATAATTTAATTACCTGAAACATGACATGATATTGAAAAAGTGAAAAGCAATAGTTCCCATTGTTAAAATATATCTAAAAGTAAGTTATGAATGTTTAAAAAGCTAAATGTAAATGATAAATTCAACAATAAAAAAAAAAAGCTAAAGATCTGAAATAGTTGGAAGTAATATAAAAAAAACTAAAAGCAATGATTAGAACAGCTAAAGTAAAAGAGTAACATTAATATAAAGTTAAAATAAAGAATGTTGATATGTGGCTAAATGTAAATGTTTGCTGAAAAAGGTAAAAGGGCGGCTGAAGGTAAATAATATGTGAGTAACCTGTTATGTAATTGAATAAATATGAGCTGAAATGTAGTTGAAAAATAAGACATTCAGCTTTTGTCAAGTGAGATTTCAGAAACTAATGTGTCATTTGTAGCAGTTAACTTCATACAAATAAAAATGACCGTGTTAAATGTGTTAATGAAGAAGAGTTCTGAGAACTGCTGATTAGTACAAGGGAAATAAAGCTAATGACACACATTCTGTGTCATCTGTCAAAGGTAAGTAAGATTAATTATGGAGTCATAAATAAATGAAGTATTGGGGTGTATCTGATTTGGTGTGAGCAGATTACTGGATTATGATTAAAAGACAACTCATACTCCTGCTGTTATATCATTTTAGCAATAAAAATGGCTGGTAAATTACCTCTTCCAGTTCAAACTCTGTCGAGAATCTGCTGGTCACTCCTGCAATCAGCATCGCCCCGTCCCTGGTAAAATATTAGCAACAGCTTTCTGTGAAACTCAAGTGATTCATTTATAAGTGTTGATACTAACCATCAGTATCAACTAAGTTGATACTGATGGTTAGTTTTAGTTAGTTTTCATTTGTTTTACAGTATGAACTTGGTAATGACAGGTAATGATTAGTCAAGGAAAAATTGATTTTCAATCCCCTGCTGATTAAATAATTTACTTTAGATAACGTTCGCATGTCGGTGTGGCCACGAAATGACCCCCCCCCCCCCCCCCCCCCCCCCCGCCCTTTAATTATACTGCGATACAGTTTATTTTAACTTCCTGGTAACAGCACAAACAGGAGAGGTAATGATAAGAAGTGATTAAATAACAGGACCTTTGCACTTGATGACACAGTGCAGGGATTTTTATAGTCGACTGTTTATAAATGCCTGATTTTTTTATGGCCCAGCTAGTTTGTTCACAGGTCACTAAAAGTGCTCTATAAACATCTGGCCCCTGAACCAGCCGAGGTCCTCGACTCTCTGTGATGAGAGCAAATATGTCTCCTCTGCGCATAAAGCAGAAGCCAAAACATAATCGAGAAACATGTGGTGGCGCCATATAACCCCAAGCCCTCGCCATATTTTCATTTTCAACCAAAAACTGGTAACATTACTCTGTTAGTTCAGTTTTGGTCTCCACCCAATCCTGAAAAAATATTGTAGTTATCTTGACACTGTTGGCTTGTTTCTTAGCAAAACTTGTACTGTTAATGGTTTTTTTTTGCTCTTCATTAGCTTCAAGTTTCTCAAGCAACTACATTTCCCCTGTGGACACCAATAAAGATTTCTCTTATCTAGTCTTGGTTAGTCTGTTTGATGCTGGCAAGTGGGTTGAAGACGCAGCTGAGACTGAATGAACATGTCGAATTCAGGAGGAAAAACCTGAAACCACGACCTAAAACAGGCTACACGTCTTCTTAAAGGCAGGTCATTTTTTGGCTGAAAACTTATGGCCTTCAAACTGCACTCAAGAAGGATATCATAGATAAACAGATCTAAAAAGGAGATAATATTTGATCACATTAAACTTAGAGCCATAAGGTCAATGCAGACACCACAAGATCATATCCACACCAAGCCAGGTAATCCCATATATGGATATTTTCTTTTTGCATTGTCCCTCCAGTTAAATAGTCAGAAACATAGCTACCAATGGTTGCAACAGTGCTGCATTTTATTGTCTTCTTGAACTAAATCAATAGGAGGGGAAAAAGAAAAACGCTGCTGTGGGTTGGTTGTTTTTGTTGCTTTGTGCCAACACCATTGAAATATACTCGCAATTCTACAACAGGAAGCCACTGAGCAAACTCACATTTTTACAAGCCAGCTGAAATGAGGTCATACTGCCAAAAACTGAGCTCATCCAGAGTTTTCACACATCTAACTGGGGTGTTATGGAAACTCCTCCACCTTTATAAGTGTATGTTCTGAGGTAAGCCATGAATTCTTAAACTCCTTGTAAATTTGTTGGAACAAAAAGGCTAAATAAACACTCATTACTGAAGGAAATGTGACCTATCATCAACCTCAACCCAAGAATACTGGCATCATGTATGTTTGTCTAATCCACAGTGCAAAAGAGATGACTCAGAAAATGAGATGGCATCTGTAAAAAACAATATGAGAGGGACTAAAAGCAGTTTAAATAGCAACCTACCCTTGGCTGACGTAGTCCCAGTTTGCTCTGATAAAGTTCCAGGCCAGCGCCTGCCCCGCTGAGTTCTGGGCTATGTAGTAAATTGTAGAAGCGACGTCCATCAGACGTATCTTCTCAGGGTCCAAAGTGTAATCAAGGTATCTGCAAGATAAGGAAGGCTCTTACTGGAAACCTAATGAATAAAACCCATGTGTATTGGGAACTGCTTTATTAAAACAGTTTACACTTTAGGATTTTATGCTTTACCTGCTGAGCAACCAGATCTTCTTGGTGCAGGACAGAGCACGACGGAGCTGCTCTTTCTCCGAGGTGTTGCTGGAGGTCTGATACATGTCCCAGGCAAATTCCCACTCTTCCTTCTCACCAGCAGCCACAGCTTGGCAGTAGATTTCAGACCGCAGGTTTGGGTGGATGCTGAATCACACACACACACTTTATTTTTCCTGTTTCAGGACCATCTAATTTTCACATTTTTTTCTTTGTGCTGGACGGCTGACATCACATGTTTTTGCTTCAGAAGGAATCTCATCAGCAGTATAAGAAAACTACCCGCCAAAATAAAATGCAATCCAACTTTATAGAAATGGCTCATCAGTATAGTAGACTGTGACCATTGTCAGTTTATGTATGTGGTTTATATATCGATGTTTACAGAAGTCACAGAAAATGCTCAAATTATTGACGTTGTTGACAATTGAAAAAGAAGACATCCAATGGCATGGTCCAACATCTGCCCACCCATCAAAAATTCAATGAAAACACAACACTGCTAGATTTTTTAAGATTTGGAAAAGTCCATATGCTAAAAGAGAAAATGTCCCCCGATGTCTAAATTAGTTTGAAAAGTGAAATGATGTCCCATCCATCCAGGTTCTTAAGGACTTCTTCAACTTGTGTTATTGAGGTATCCTGGCAGAGCCGTAGAGACAGACAAATCACGAATCGTGCTCATTTCCCTACCTCCACAAATACCACTGGTAGAGACGCCGTGCAGAGCAGCAGATTCAAACCTACAGCCTTCTGCTTTGCAGCAACTGTGCTAACCACTGCAGTAACATGCAGGCCAAGAATGCGGGAGCGATAAAGCAAATATAAACCACTTTGAGCTTTGGCTATTTCATTCTTTCTGATACAAAAAGCTGTTGTTATGGAACATGAAATCGATTAACTGGGATAAAATAATCTGAAGGCCATTTATTGATCTTGGAGGCACAGCTACATGCAAGACCTGTTTTAGCCTCTTTTATAGTCTATTTGTTTCCCATCATAAATGTCTGAGTTGCATGATAAAGGAAATGTGGTATTCATGTGTATCCACATCTGAATTATATTCCCATTTCATGTTCATGTTTTGCATGGCGAAAATATTTATTTCGACCTCTTGACTTTCAACACCCCCAGATTAAAAAGACAAAGTGTGCTTAGCGGTTTTACAGTAAGTGATTAAGTTGAGAGCTTAAGTGCTGGGTTCACTATGCTGGAGTCATGAGTGTGAGACGAGTGTCTGTTTGTCTTTCTGCAGTCTTGCTTTTTAGTATAGTGATATAGCAAAAGAAACTGACAGAATGTCTAAGTCTGACATAATTAAATCTAATTAAATCTCATTTTATCCTTGATGTACTCATTTTAGATTGAAGTTGTTGTCACATCTGGCAAAGTCAGACATATACACGGCCCAAGTGAGCATTTTTGGACAAAATAAAGGCTAAAGAATATAAAAGAATCCATGGATGTCAGACTTTGGTTACTATTCTGTGACTTCTCTGAAGATGATTTTGATTTTCTTGACCACAAGATAACAAATCCAGAATATGCCCCCCCCCACCCCGCCCTAATTTATAATGTGTATACAGTATAACATGGAGCATACATATCCACATAGTATTGCAGTCAAGCACAAAGGCATTTCCACATTGAAGTAACAAGCACATGCAGTGAACGTATTTAACTGTAAATAAAAGATAGACGTAGCCTCAAAGCTTGTTGTATAGGAAATTGAAGGTCCTACAAATATTACAGAGAAAACCCCAGCGATCAGACAATCCCTTATGAACAAACACGTGGAAACATGGAAGGAAGAACTCCTTTTTTACAGGAAGACACCTCCAGCAGAAGCAGGCTTGGAGAGGGGCAGCTAATTACTGCAACCAGTTTGGGGTTGAGAGAATACACTGTCTGCTTTTCCCCGACACTGCAGATGAGTGTCGTGTTGTTCCTTAGGTTCTTAGTCAGATCCACGCCTCAAGGTCCCTAACCAATTAGTGATGTCATTGTGGCTACGTCCATCCTTTATATACAGTCTTAGTCCCAATTTTTTAAAGTTGCACTTGGAAACTTTTCAAAAATGCTAGCTGTAAGCGCACCAGAGCACTTGTTTGGGAAAAGATGTTGGAATTGAAAATTAGAGTGAGACTGCTTGAAAATCCCACCAAGTGCAGCTTTACCAACATCCACAATGCACAGATACCAACAACTGACATGAAAGAGGGATTAGATTACACATACCTTTACTAAATCATTACCGGAGAGCAAAGCTACAAAATATATGGAAAGCTAATACAGTTAGATGATCATTGGATAATTCCAGAAAGTGTGACACAGAAAACAAAGATACTTATTCTAGAAAAGTCCACACCTGTTGGTATTGTTGCTCTCCATCCAGGCGGCATACTTCTGCTTAGCCATCTCTACGCATTCTGGTAGTCCATTGGAACATGCCAGCTTTATGGCTAAGAGCTGGGTGTACCTTAGGATGAAACAACATTTTGTATGATAAATGCAAAGGTATGAAATGCCAGAGTGTTTCCAAATATGAGAATAATTTGAAGACAGGAGTTTTTTAACCCTTAAATGGACTCTTACTACTCATCTAACACTGACAGTTCTCTAACGAATTGTTTTACCAATGGTTTTGAAACCGAGAGGGCCTACGCGTTCATTGAAAGCTTCCAGTTTCTTTCTTTTATGTCATCTTTTGGTAGCACTTTGTGGTCTAGCCATACAGCCAGTGACTGCTCAGCATTTACCCGGTAAATGTTTCTAACTTGGGGCGTAATTTTCAGCAGCTGAATGTACTCTTAGTGACACTTAAAGTGCAGTTACAGAAGAATAAATGACTAACAAGTGGCAATTTCTAAGGAAAGGTGAAAATGATACCACTAAGACTAATTCTACCCTCATTATCACGTCGACCTATAATGCCATATTGTTGTGCCACATAAACAAAGATTAATTATCAAATAATCAGTTTACAGTTTATCATTCTTACTTCCAGCTCTACAGTTTTATTCTTATACGTTACTAGAACAGTCCAGTTAACAGATATCCCCACTCTTTCTTTCTGAGACCTGTGTTTTTTGATGAAGTCATTATTTGAAACCTTGGCCGTGTTTAACATGAACATCCACCCCTGCAACAGTTTATATGAGAAAAAAGCAGACCACTTTAAATGATCCTTGATGACACGAGAACTGCTTCCTTTAAAACAACACTCACAGTCCACACCACACATCTGTTACAGCACAAAGGCAAAAATACAAACTCACACATCTGCTTTTTATTAGCACCTTTGGACTCGAGTGTGATTTTATGAACCTTAAACTACATGCAAGCATGTGTAAGTCTGTTGACGATTAACTCAGGATGAATTCCGTCTTAAAAAATAAAGATCTTACTTACTGTAAGGAGTGATCGTTCTGTGGGACGCGGTCATCGTCCGTGTCGTTTTTGAAGACGTTATACAGCTCTCTAACCTGTTCCCGCAGGTATGTCTGCAGGAAGAGACGGCAGAGTTTCGGCAATGTATACAATATTTTCTGCACATTGTTCCAATTATTGAACATCAACAAAATCAGAAGATCACATTAAGCCTGTTAAATATAATAATATAAGACAAGTTGTACAACTAGTGAAAACAGATGACAGATACCTGCATGGGTCCATACACCTCAGAGCGGTCAAACATGAGGATGAAGTACTCGAGATTCCTGACCGCTGACTCCCAGGGAAGAAACTCTGTCTCTTTTGTGAGGAAAAGGGTTGAATTCAGAGCCAGAGTCACGTTGACAAGTTTAGCCCTGATTAGAACAAGAGTGAGATCTCAGTCAGTACAGCCATTTATTCAAAATTCACAAAAAAGCAATATTGGAGCATCCACACACCGCCTGTGCTTTAGCCATTTTTATTTATACAACCTCCAATGGGACTGCTTCTACAATCACATTTTCTTACAGCTAAATGTTATGAAAAAATTAAGTCTCCACAATTTGGTTGGGACGTCTTTGGTTAGCATCAGATCAAATGGAAAATGTTTTTTTAGAAATACTGCAGCGGCAAAATGTCTCAGACTTTATTTAAAGTGCCCGCTGTGACTTATCGGGATTTGCCTGTTTAATAATTGGCTCTAACAAAACTCAACCCTATCCTGGACAGATGACCGGATGAGTAAAATAATGATGGCTGACAAATGTTGTTGTCTAAAGAAAGTTATCTATTTGCATTTAACTCTCTGAGGTATGAGTTGAAAACACTGGCATGTCTAACCCTGAGTTTTGGAGAAAAACAAAAGGGCATTTTTTGGGGAAAAATGTAAGTAATGCCTGTAAGTTACAAGGATTTTTTATTTTTTACCCCGACTGCCAAGACTTTGGAGAGACTTTTAGAGCTGGGGATAACACCGATCATAACAAGAGCTCACAGGGTTAATGTCCAGCTAGCTGCAATAAGCAGCAGGGTGTCAATAGCGTGTGTTAGCTCTGTGATAGCGTGTCAGCCTGTCCAGGGTGTAGCCTACCATGACAGGCTCCAGCTAATCCAATATCTCAATAAAACACATATAATATACTTCATTATCTCAAATAAATGCCTTCCCTAGAAACTGGAGCAAAGTAGCCACGTTCTTTGGTAAAATAAATGTCAAATAACATTTAATAATGTTAGGCTGTTTGGTTTGGAAGGGGGTTTGTGATTAATACTGAAAGAATGAGAGTTTTTCAAAAGGCCAGATCTAAATATTCAGCAAACCACTGCCTGATGCAAAGCTGCATGTTAAGTTAAGTGGACTTCTTAATGACGTTCTAGTTTCCTCTTATCGCTTAACATATCTAATATATTAATAGCACAGCATTATTATTTTTTTATTAAATGAACAGGTCACAGTCAGTACCTTGCCAAGTTAAATGCGTCATCAATAAGTTGCCCTCTGTTCAACAGCGGGATACTCTGGAAAAACACAAGAGTTTCAAAGTTAGAGAGCCACCAAGCGCTACTTCTTTCTTACCTGGGAGCTGCCATTTTAAAGTTATTGAAAATGACTTTAAAGGTTACTGAACGTGACTTTCCTTGCCATCTGATTCCCAACCACTTACCTGGAATTCTCTACTCCTGCTATCCCGTGTTTGTCCACAAAATTATTCTCCCTCCACCATTTGTTTTGTTCCCCAATCAGTGTCATAGGGAATTCAGGTATGTTTATGACAAGTGTTTAAGAGGAGTTGCCTTAGTCAGTGTGTGCTTTGTAGCAGAAACTGTAACAATAGTAACCCTTGCCCCGTTCGTTGCACTGGATGGAAAGTCACAGGCGTTAAGAAAGCTTTCTTTCTCTGCACCGCGAATTATTGATGACAGAACATGAACAACTGAGTGGTAGATCAACCAGCCAAACAATCCGTGAACATGGTGACGACATTGCTGATACAACTACAGACTCGTACATCCAGAAAAAAGCAGGTTAGTTGTAAAAGTTATACGTGAGGCACAAGTAAGGCCTTTTTTGTGTAACTCGGGATCTACGACGACAAATGTTCGCTTTGAAGGATTGAGTTAACCTCTGAGCTTTTGGTTCAAGGCCAATTCTTGGTCTGGTCTACTTTGTTCAAACAGCATCTCTGGCTTACCCTCCAACACAATCTATCAAACTTCACTGTGTAATAAAGGAAGCAAACTTGGATGCTTTTATTGTTGCTCTTTAAAGCCTCTAGAAAGCCTTTGCAGTCCAATGAATCTGCCTTCGACAATAAGTTATTTCTCTTCAATATAACCTTGTCAGTTTATATAAATGTTATTAGATTTTATTTTGATAATTAACCAATAACTCACAAAATCCCTGCATTTATTGCCTGGTATGGAACAAAGAAGCTTCAGAAGATAAGATGTCGTAATATTTCCAGTAAAAATCACCCAGTAAAATGTGTAAAACTGGAGTGGCCCAGTACTTACATGCCGATTCTTCTGCAGCTGAGCTAGAAGGCGTTCCCAGTTCTCTGGATTGTAATTGACTCTGTAGTATCCGATGCAGTTGATATTTGCCAGGATCCATTCACCATTCTTAGCTATGAAAGCTTCTTTGTTTACTGTTCACGAGACATCAATTAGTTGAAAATGTGTTAAATTTATTTGCGAGTGAGTAAAATGAAGCACTTGAATGGAGAAAAAGGAAACTTGACAGAGGCTGAGACGAGACTTAAGAAGTAAAAACATGAAGACAACCAAACTGAAAGCAGATGCACTGTGTGCAGTCATTTTGCTTCTCCCAGATGTTTTTCTATCTCCGTTTTTTGGTTCGTATATCTTTGATGTCATTTTTGCAACTCTTTTACTCTTTGTGATAAATTCCCATTATCGCTTCCTTTTGTTCTGTATTTTTTCACGGACACGTCAGGTGGCATTTGGGATTCACATCTGTTTATCTGTAGATGTTTTGATGCTTTTTTGTGTCTTGAAAGTCAGTTTGTATGATTAACTATTCTGACACTGTATGTGTTTGCAACATTACATGCACAAATGTCATTCAAATTCAGCAACACTAAGGATGATTAACGATGTATGTGATTAATGGTTTTCTATACCTCCTAAAATATATGCAAAACATTTCTTTGGCCAATTTTTATTTTTGTGCATTTAAAGAAAATTCCATTCCAGGAATACCTAAAGCCTTTGTAGCTGATTTAAGAACTTTTGGGGCAAATAAACATTTCACTGAAAAATCTTGTGGTTTTTTTGTTTGTTTTTTTAACCAATGGCTTGATTATGTCTCATCCCACATTAATAATAAAATAAAACATTATTCTGGTTCCCTTTGAAACAGAAGATGTAAAATAAAAAATACTTTGTGTTCTCCTGCATCTTACCTGGCTTGTTGTTATACAAATACACTTTCTCGAATTTAGACGACGCATTTGAGATGAACTCAATCTCCACTGTCCATGAATTGCTAAACAGAAAAAGAACAGGTAGATCTTACACCGGATGTAGTTTCACATGCCCCAGAAAATAAAGTGAGCAATAATTGTGAGTTTTACAGACTTTTTAAAGCTCACAAACTGAAAAGAAGCATTTTAGAGACAAAAACATGAGCATGAAATCTATTTTCCTTTGTAATAACCTAATCTGTGCCACTATCATGCCAGAGTCTCCAGGATCTGGAGGTATCCCAGTCTGGACCCTGTATGATTCATCATGGCAGCATCATGGAGTTCGAAGGCAAAGGCACATCCAAAAGCAATGAAATCAGTTGTGGCCCAATACTTTGTTAACAATGTGAGTTATTCATTGAATAACTTGACTTTTTACCACAGATGGTTATTTAATCTGTATTATCATTAAAAGTGGTACAAAATGTTAACTCAAGCTAGATGATTTTATTACAGATTTGTCTAGGCTGGAAAGACAAACGTTAGGTCAAGTTAGTAGAAAGATGTGGAAGACACCTACGAGGAATTGGCAGAGTTATTGAAGAGAAACTGCTTCTGGTAGACTTGTCCATTGGTAGTGTTGATGGTAATGACAGGATAGCCACTTTGGGTGGTCCAAGGGTTCATGAATCCAGCGATGTCATCAGTGTTGCGGACAGCTTTGTTACCGCGGTTCTGATTCGCAGCCTGCCAACAAGCCAATGAATATCTTTCCATGTGCAGTCCAAACCCGATGTATTTGTAAATATGATTTATGATAACTGAATTCATTAGTATCTGAACATTTTCGAACCCTTTGCTTTAAAAGAGCTAAATATACCACGCAGGTCTTTGCTTTCTAAAAGCTGCTGTTTGGCATTTTAATGTGCTAGCCATTGTTTTAAATTAAACGAGCTAAAACACAGACCAAAAACTATGATTTGTCCAAAATACTTAAAATCTGGGATAAATACAATGTTGTGATTAATCCTCAGGCAATGAAAGTGTGGGAATGATTTTGATGACAAGGCACGCATAGAGTAAGCAACAGAAATTTGGCGGAATAAAACAGCTGGATAATTTATCATCTTACCATTTGTATATACTTCAAGAGGTCATCCTTTTCTACGTTTCCATATTGAAAGGCCTTGAGATACATCTATGAAATATATGAAAGCAGAGCAAATCAGAACGATTGAGTAACAGTGGACACAGTTGCATCAGGCCCAAAAATGAATTATTTCCCCGTGGAGCTGTTGGAATAAGAGCTGGGTGAAAAGATTCAATTGCAGCTGTGAGCAGTTGGACCTGAGGGAGATTTGATGTTGTAATAAATCTCTGAGTAAAAAACGTTTTGTTTTTTTTTGTTTTTTTGTTTGTTTTGTTTTTAGTCTTCTGCCTGGATACACGTGAACATTCACAATGAGTTTGGTGTGTTACAAAAATGAAGGTTTGAACAGACATTTAGCCTCTTCCTTGTATATCTGACAAGCAAAACACAACACCCTTATTCATTTTGCATGAGGCAGTGGAAAACACAAGTGGACAAAAGCTGCGTGCCTTCCCCATTTCTGCAGACACGAACCAGATGTTGGAATGCTTTCGTTCAGAGCAGCACTGAGGGCTTTATTTTCAACATGTTCGATTTGGATGTATGACAGAAGCTGGTGTCTATTGATGGTAAAAAAAAAAAAAGTTAACCTCTTCGAATACACCAGGTTACCTGCAACCTGTCGAGGGTTTGGGATTATTTTAGCCACATGATATACAGACAAGTTTTATGAAACTAGAAAGTGTTGCCTTTCAAATGAAGCCTGATCCATTTTGGAATTACAACTTTATGTTATTATTATTTTTTCGGTTGTTTCAAAAGTTTCCAAAGATCATTTTACACGACTAAACTGAAACAATACACCGCTGGATCAAAGACTGTATTCAAAGGATGGGCGTAACCACTGTGACACCACCCACTGGTTTTGGAGTGCAGATTGTGATGCCTTATTAGCATTTTGGCCACCACCGTGTCTTTTTTTCTTTTTTTAAATGCAGAAGTTACCATATTTGGATCAAAGGCTGGAGTGCTAAGTTATCAGCTAACACTTGCAAGCTTTGTTGCTAAGCTGCATTCATAAATTCCACCCATCTATTTTCTTCCAACATCAGAGTTGCAGGGGGGCTGAAGGCCCTGGACAGGTCGCCAGTCTGTCACAGAGCTAACACAGCATTCACAAGGTCATATTTCCATTATTAATGCTTCAAAAAGTAGCAACAGCACAAATGTTGTACAGTGGCCCAGTTCAGTAAGTCAGACTAACAGGGATGACAGCTACAGTGGGACAAATCCTGATCCTGTGGACAAAAATAAGTGAGTTCATTTTGTAATGCCACAAGCTGTGGCTACGTAAGCCTATGTGTCAATATCTGGCACCAATTATGGCCAGCCAAATCTGCTCTTCCTTTCCATCCATCTCAAAAGCCTATGAGGCGCTCAGAGTTTTGTAGCACACAAGGGACTTCACAAATGTTCCGTTTCCTTACATTTGCCAAGACTTTGGTTGCAAAAGCAAACAAGTTATATGCAGATTAGATGAGATTTAATAGCTAATTAAAGCATCAAACGGTACGATTGCTACATCTGTGTCCTCTTTCAATATTGTCGTGGCTCCAGATACATGAGCCATGACATCATCAAAATGGTTGGATTTTCTCATGAAAACGTTTCCAGGATTCTGCATTTGGATTGTCTTGGCAGAAGTGAGTTTCAACTGCAGTCTGGCAGTCAAGTGAAACCCTTTAGTTTTATTGTTTGTTTTTAAGTTTAAATGGTAAATGGCCTGTATTTGTATAGCGCTTTACTCAGTCCTTATGGACCCCAAAGCACTTTACACTACATTCAGTCATCCACCCATTCACACACACATTCACACACTGGTGATGGCAGCTACACTGTAGCCACAGCTGCCCTGGGGCGCACTGACAGAGGCGAGGCTGCCGGACACTGGCACCACCGGGCCCTCTGACCACCACCAGCAGGCAAAGGGTGAAGTGTCTTTCCCAAGGACACAACAACCAAGACAGTCAGAGCCAGGGCTCGAACTGGCAACCTTCCGATTACAAGATGAACTGCCAACTCTTGAGCCACGATCGTTTAAGCCTTGGGAAGGACCTGAAAGGAAAATCATTTTTGCTTACTTGGAGCCCTTTGTTGAAAACAACTTCTCCCACATGGTTTGCCAGCATTCTCAGCACAATTGCCCCCTAACAAAGTGAACACAGATTACATGTTCCTGTTAGTAGAAAACACACGGTGGCAAATTGTGTATTAACAGCTTTGACTAGCTACCTTGCTGTAGCTGATCGAATCAAACATTCCAAGGATGTGATCTGTCGTATTGATCTCTTTTGATGCAGGACTGAGTGGATGGGATGAGGCCAAAGCATCCTCTCTAAACGCATCGTGGAGGTCATTCATGATAGATATTTCTTTCTGTAGAAAACAAACATGGACGAGACTGTAAGCCTAAACAATTTTGCCTGAGCATTTAGCAGAACTCCAGAGATATTGCAAGGCTGGACTTACTATATTGAACGTAGGCTCCACACTGTCCACAGCAATGTAAGATAGGTAGGTAGCAATGCCCTCATTCAGCCAAAGGTCGTTCCACCATTTCATTGTCACCTCATTTCCAAACCACTGCCAACAAAATAAAAATAAATCATTGCACAGGAAAGGTTGCATTGCTATTCAATATTGTTGTAAAAGTTGTAATAAACTTAAAAACAACTTCCTTAATCCAACACTGTGTTTCCTATCATGTGAAAATGTTGAATGATCTTTACTTTTGCTGCTAAAACCATATGTTTTGCTACTCCTGTCTGTGGTCTTAACAGGAAAATGACTCAGAGGATTGAAATCACATGCTTTATTTGTTTTACTGCTCTCTAACCTGGTGTGCCAGTTCATGTGCAATGACAGTGGCAATATCTTCCTTGTGCAACAGGGAGGAGACTCCTTCCTGATAGAGCAGGAATCCTTCCTGGTATGTGATCAGTCCCCAGTTTTCCATCGCAGCAGGGTATAAGTCTGGCAGTGCAAGCTGGTCTAAGGAGATCACAAAGAAATGGACACAATTCTGTTCAAATCAGTTCAGTTCAGTTCGGTCTACATAGCACCAATTCACAACAACATAATTTAAGGTGCTTCATATCAGAGAATAAAGACCCTTCAGTATTAAAAACCAGATTATCCCCTATGAGACATGTATGAGCTACTCAATACAGTATTTTGATTATTAAGCAGTAAGTGATGCATCTAAAAATCAAAAACAGTACTTGTGAGCCATAAAATGTGGATAACAAGTCAAAGTGTGGGTTCAACACATTTGATTCATGGGAGTTTATATCCACAATAAAAGCAACATACTGAACAAAGACCGTTTTGTGCGGGTGACCCCAAAAGTGAGCTGATTAAAGAAGAAGACTGAAATGTAAGTAGGTATAGTTTGGGAAGAGAGGCGCCTGGACTTCTTTAAGTTTCTTGAAGACGTTTCACCTCTCATCCGAGAAGTCCAGACACCTTTCTTTCCAAGCTGCTTAGACTACAATGACCTGGATGACTGAGACCCTTCACAGATGTAAGTAGGTATAGTTTACCTATTTTTTCCATTGAATATTTCATTTCAAATTGGCTTTCGTAGAATCGAAGGAGCTTTCTGGCAATGTCGCCGGCATAATCAGCGTGTCCTTCATCGATGGCTTCAGGACGAGCATACGTCTGCACAAACAAAACACAGAAATGGCACTGAGTGGTAAAAATAGTAAAACCTCACTGGCTACTAGCCCAGTTTTGCTGACTTTCAAAGTGTACTGGCAAAAACAAAAACATCAATAACACTGCATCAGATTCATCCTGGAGGACATGTAGCCTACATTTATCTTCACGCGATCAGTATCAGAGCTTGGAGAGGTGATGGATTTGAAGCTGTCGTCAACCACTGCGAAGGCGAATAAGTAGGTGGACATCTTTGGTGTTGCTCTAAAGATAGTGTATTGCCATTCGTCATCTATAATGTTGCTTTCTGAAAGAAGGGAAACAAGGAAATACATAATGAGGACATCTTTTACTCCTATTGTTAAAGTTAATGTTTGACTCCTCAGCAGGTGACCTATATCGCGTATTGACACAGCAACTTGTTTTTACCATAAGGGGCTGCATTTCCCAGAGCTCTGGTTTCTCGCCTGTGGATGATGGTCAATGTAAACACAGCCTTCATGTCTGGCTCATCGAAACAAGGAAACACTTTCCTGGCATCTGTTGGCTGCAGATTGGTGGCAGCAATGAATCTAAGCATACAGGGAATAGAGAGCGAGAGAGTGTTCAGGTCTCTTTTAATTGGATCAAAATGTCCCAACATATTCTTTATCATCGCTAACAGCTTTTATTTGTCTTTGACTATGATGTTGCTGCACTTTTTTGACTAATTTCTTACATTAATTGCAAGTGAATCATCTTGTGGCCATATTGTACCATTTAAAGAATGCACAATAACTTGTTAAAAACATTAATGAGTGAGAAATGGAAAAGACAGAGTGTAGCTGGTTAACAACAACTGAGAAAAAGATATGTGTGTAACTATCCCAAGGTGTTCATTGTGTTCTATGTCTAGGTGTTCATGTATGTTGGGTTTGGTTTGGTTAGGTTTTGGATGTGCCTGATTCTCACAAATTCATATGAGTATGAATGTGTAAAAACAAAAAGATGTGTGAGAGATTTGTGAGCAGTACTCTTTTAAAAAAAGAAAAGAAAAGAAAAAGAGAAGAAAGGATACATGAAGTACAAGTGTAGCGGTTGAAAAGTTGAGGTCCCCACCTGAACGGGCTGGTTACATGTATTAAATTATTGTCTTCACTGTAGAATAGTGCGTGATCAGAGGTTGTAAATGTGTAAACATATAAGTGTACAACTCTTTAAGTTCAATGTGAGACACCATATCCAAGAATCAAAAACTGAGAAGACAGAAAAACAATAAGCTACTTTTTAAAAACTTCTTTGCTGCTTTATAGCTTCTTTTATTTTTAGAGTTTAATTTGACTTTTTTCCTCCCCTACATTTATTTGAAGCTACTGGTCTTTAGATTAAGATGTTATTGAAAAAAGATCTTTGGGATTATATTTATAAAAATCGTGAGCGTATTGCAGAATGATTGCTTTTGCTTTGATACTGTTGCAAATTTTGCCTGTGTACTTCTTTTTACGGCACATTTTAAAGCCAGGACTTTTACTTGTAACTAAATACTTATTACACCACTGCAGGTGCAAGCACACATGTAACCAATCAGTGATGTTACCCCAGCGACGTGTTGTAACAAACATTGATTATGAATGGATTATTTTACTATTATTATTACAGGTTTTTTCATTCTGAAAGATATTGTTTGTCCTTTCTGTTGGATACTTACTGGTTCCAGCTTAACTGCATTTTGATTAGGCCTCATCTTAAGCTGTGTAAATCAGTTGAGCCAACTCAGTTTTATCAAAAGACAAAAATGTCCTGGCCGCAGTTTCTGTAACTTTAATGCCAAAGTTCCACTGTGAATTATTTTTTATGGGTTTGTGCAACATCTAGGATAAGGGTACGATGAACAGTCAGTTTGGGTTATTGTTTTACATGTCAGATTAAAACTGACACAAAGAACTGCACGTCAGTGGAAAATAAATAGTGATTTGAAAAAATGTGGGTTGCATCATTGTTATATTAGAAAATGACTTTGTGTTTGAGCTATCACTGTGTTTAGTCATCCAGATGACTCACTGTTTCTAAAAAACACTCAAGTTGAGAAATTAATTCACTGTGGAAACTTGAACATCTCTGTAACCTGATGGAATATTATTATGGCTTATTATGAATTATTACTGTTATTATGGCTGAGTGATAAAGTTTGTAAGCTTGTATAGATATTTTTTTCTCTCCTTTATATTAAAAGCGAATTACACTTTGAACAATGCTAAAAATAAAAAATAAGGCTTATATATTTACTTATTTAATCATTTAATATTTGGAGTTGCATCTTCTTGAAATATCGATTTAAGAAATTATTTAATTATTTATTTTTCTTAATATAACTTTGACTCTTTTCAGTTTGTATTTAGCATCCAGCCTTTATGTCCTTTTCCTTGAAACCTTTCCAAATATTTTTCCCTTAATAGTTTTCTTATAAAAAAAAACAGTTAAATTTAAATTTTGTATTTATTTTTTACTCCAGAAAAAATTGGAATCTTGAAATCCTAAAAATAGCATTAAATACAGAATACTTACATAACTTTCATAGATTTCAGATTTTAAAAAAAATTAAATATAGATTTAATTTAATATAGATTATTTTTCCAACTGGAATAAACACGACCACATTTCTTTCACTTTCTCAGAAACCCTCTAAGCTCTAATTGCCGATTATTGTACAGAATACCATAAACTTTAAAGTTGCAGTAATGAAAAGCTCTGAAATTGTTTTAGAAACTCCAAATTCAACAAATAATTAAATGTATTGATATATATTCTATACGCAGAGCTTTTATACGTACCTGTCCGCATTTGGATCATCTACACTTTCATAGTCAAAGATACCATCAGTATATCTGCTTAGATACAGTGCTTCCAGATTATCCGAGACTTCGCCGTGGAAAGACAAAAACAAAGAGTAGTTCCCTCCTGTCTCCAAGGGATCCATCAATTCGAGCTCGAGGAAGTCACTTTCATCATCGTGGTGTTTCATTCCAGACACTTTAATATTCCTTTTTGTATTTTCGTTCAACACCACCGGCGAGGACACGTTCAGGTATCTGCTGTTGAGAAAGATGCTCATCGTCTTTTGGGCACATTGAAAGTGGACAGTCGAGTTTCCCGTGAAGATCATGGTCTGGTTCGGAGTGGTGATGTTGGGATTGGAGCCGTTCCCCTCCTCTATGATTTTAGTGTAGAGGTGAACTGCGAGTACAATTTCGTACTTCTGAGGTACCAAGCTCTTCGGCAGCCGCATGTCTGGCGGTGGGGCCATGGTGGTGGGTGGCAGGGTTGGAGGTGGCGTCATGGTAATGTTTTGGGTCTGAGCCTTGAACAGAATAATCATGGTGAACATGCCGCCGATGGAAGAGACGGTCAGAACACCAAAGGCGATGGCGATAGCCTTCGACGTTCCAAACTTCAGTGGCATTGTAGCTGCTTCTTTTGGTCCGTCCTGCTGCTTGCCTGGTAGAGATGATTCCCTGAGTGAGTCTGCCTCTGGTCTGTGCTGTCTGATCTGTTCACAGGCATGTAACCTCCCTCCAATAAACAGGGCTTGGCCTTAGCAATTAAGGGTCTGTACTTGGATTAAGCATTAACTTTGACACTGCCAAAGGAGCAAAGAGTACACATTGCAGTGTGAAGAGGGCGATGTTCACTGTAAATAATCAGTCAGATTGTGCTCCCAAACATCTGGAGGTGGTTACAGCGGTCATGCCACTAATGCTGGGGTTAGGTAAACCGCAAGTCCTCACACTGCACTCTCCTACCCCATCCCACACTTCCTCACATTCCCTTTCTGTGAACACTCCTCAAACCATCACAATCACACACAAACACCCCCGGGCACAACAAAATCCTCAGTGGGGAACACATCCAGCATCGCCGCTTTTGATTGTAAGAGGTGTTCAAAGTTTCGAAATACAGCTGTTCTTCCTTAAATTTCTGCAAGCAAGTCTCTGCAGCAGGAGGGGTCCAAGGGTTGTTATCTAAACAGAGACCATGCAAGTCTCTCCCACCAAGACGGTATATAAAGAGAGGACTGCTGAGTGGGCTGAATAAAACAGAAGAAAAAAAACGGAGAACATAGACCGTAGTGATTGGTACATCACTGAACTTCCTGGAAAGCTCCAACCGCGGGTAACGACGACCACCGTGACCATTGTGTACATATTCTTCATCTCAGGAGAGGAAAGAGGAGGGAGACTAATAGGCAAAATGGGAATAATGCAGGAAAAGAGGGCCGGAGATGGGAGTGTTGCTGGTTATTTGTACTGAGAACAGATGTTGCTGTTGGAGGGTCAAGGTGGTCAAATCATCCTGAGCATATTGATAACACTGGAGACCAACCATCAGCGCCCTGAGGCCAAAGTCAGGTGGATGAGCAGCTGAGGCAGCAAGGCCACATTCCTGTTCACATTAAAACTACATCAACATTGGATACCAAAGCAAATAAAGACCCCAGCAACAATAAAACAAGTAAACCCAAAAACTCAACTGTCATTTTTATTATGTGAGACAAGTGAACCAGATGTTATAACATCTGCCTGAATGTCACAGGTTTCTGCTCTTACGTTCAAGATTTACTCCTTAGAAAGGAAGAGGTAGGTCATCAGTTTCATAATGCATTTAATTTGGATTGATGCGTGCAAGCGAGGCAGCAACAGGAACTTTCACGTGTCAATACAGAGCACAACTCTTTTGGAAGAAATCTGTGAAATGTCAACCAGATCTCTCACTACAAGCACTCTCGCGTATATACACACACATTCTCTCAAGGATATTTGGTTTAAAAAAAACAAGCTTTAATTAAATTACCAAGATTTTTGCACTCATAAACGCTCTGAAGGCCCAATCCATCACACAGCTGGGGTTAGGTCTAACTCTAATTCTGTATTATCTGGAGAGAGAAAAAGGCACGTTATAGGTGGAAAATACATCATTTTTATGCGTGTTACAACTTACAACGACTAAATTGTAACAAAAATTCTGATAACCACAGGGTAAGAGCTGCTGAGGTCTTAAAGAGTTAAGTAGAAGGAAAAATGTAAAAATCATCTGCTTCAGTCTCATAAGCAGCTACAAAGACTTTTCTTACTTTTACTCTGCATTTGTCCAGTTGAAACACATTCAGATTATAACTGCAACTTGGGTCTAAATCAGACCGTGTTACAGGTAATCAAGGCAAAATCTTGGTAATTTTACATTGTTCAGGAGCATTTTCTTTCAGCCATTAAAAACAAAAAAACAAAACAAAAAAACAGGAGCCCATCAGGTAAACCACCAGTTACACCAGTGCAGGTTTAAACAGGGACAGAAATCTTCAAGGGCAAATCTTTGATAATAAGGACCTCTGCTGACAAGAAGGGTAACTGCAAGTGCATTAACTCGACTGTCTCTGCTGTCACAAGCAGACAAATGAAGCTGAAAACAAAACAAACAAACAAACAAACAAACAAACAAAAAAACCAGCTGGAATTTGACTTGAAATAATCAGCCTTTTGTGACAGCAAAGGAAATGTGCAAAAAGTTTCGAGACATCAGAAGCTGACTAATTTTAAAGACGGGCAGGGTAAAGTTTGCTGAAACTCATTAGCTCCCTCTTCAGACAAACACATTTACATGATGCATATCAACAATAAACCTGCCCACAGAGAGGGCACTCGAGATTAAAATAATGTGGCCCAGCACTGGAATGAACTGTTTCTGCATTCCCGGCAGCCTGTGATCGGAATTACACCAGCTTAACGAAAGCAATCAGCAGCCGAGTCAGAGCAGTCACACCGAAACAGCTGATGTTCTTCAGCTGCTTTTTAGGAAGAAGAGCTTCACGTTGGCATTTTTGGTCCTGCACCACGTCTCCCACACACTCTTACCCATTTACTGCATTCATACACGGATCTCATGTGTTCATCTGTGCAATTCTCTAGCAAAAGACTCAATGTGTCTTCCGTTTGAGTTAGTAATCGACGCTAATAAATACAACCGAATTCAAGGAACGACTGAGTACAAAATACAGTACAATAACCATCTGCTTTCTACAGTGGAG